GATGCTGTTGTTGGTCGAGAAAGTACCTGAAAACTTCCAACTCACTTGCCACATCTGTGATTTCACAAAGTTACGACAATCTACCTTGAAGGGTTTTATTAAAGAGGATTAAGAAACATGTAATAACATGCAAGCAGAAGACTGAAAGTCAAGCATATCCTGGACTGGTTTATGACTGAAAAGCCACAAAATGTTCGCTTTCAACTCAAACGAAACCTGTGCTTTTCCAACCGGTGTGCCGGTTCAGTGCTAACAGACAGCTCAGTAAGTAAACAGTGAGTGTTAAAGTTCATAATGTTTTTACATGATCTCAGCTAGCTACCGTTTGCTTTGTATACTAATGTTAGCACTGCTCATGTTGCGATCCATTTGGCTCAATATGCTGCTACAGTGAGCTCAGTATGCTGCGCAACTACATGAGACAATGGCTCAGTTATGTTTGCATGGTACCTTGTATATCGATGAATCATAATGTCAAATGTACTCTACTGCCCAATCTCAAACAAATAGGTTATAATTTACACGAGTCGTCTTTCTACTAGGGTTCATTTATGATGCAAAGGGAGAAAGAAGAATAAAATAAAAGAGCAAACCAACAACCACGACCTCCTGCAGATTACAACTCTTTATTGCTAATGTCACCAAATAACCATTTCAGTTAACATGACTTCCTTTCTGTAAGTTTCTGATGCCAGTAGATATTAAAGCAGATGAAGACCAGATGAAATCTTCTCAAAGACTCAGGAAGCCATCCCTTTTTTCTAGACGGCTATTGCAACCATGTTGCAATCCTGCAACATGGTTGCATACCATCAACTTCAAGTGGTTCCCTCTAAAATTAGAGGTAACCAAACCTGTAGGGAATTGATGTTGCAGTTAAATACATAAACTGAGCAAAACAAACCCTTTACTATAAAGTAATTTGCAAGTTTGTGTTTTATTTTGGAGACCAGTTGGAGAGTGATAAGGGTTTTGAACAGCTTGCTGAAATGTTAGACATTTGTCTGATGGATAGGTAGATATTTAAGGGTCTGTTTGTTCCTCATTGTAACAGCAAAAGGTTTTCCATTGAAGAATCAGCTTGCTTGGAGACAAACGGAGAATAATTGTTGATTTCTTTCTTCTTTTCTACTGCTATGCTATCATGCTACTATAAATCTGCATGCTGGTAATTCTAATTCTTAGAAAGTTCAAAACAGGAACTGGACTATAAAGCTGCAGTCAGTGCACCTCTTAAAATAAATGTGCAAGTTCACAAAGTCTTTGTTTTGCATTTGCCACAAATGCATTTTGAAAATCTGATCATCTGAATGTAAACATCTGAATCAGTTTCTCTGAAGTCTGACAGCCAAGTTTCTCATTAACATTTGAAATGCAGCTTGCAAGTGCAGATTCTTGATTCTGCTGACAAAACCTGCTAAAGTTACCGACATGCTAATGAGCTCATTTCACCAGTGATTAAGCAGTTTTCATTCCTGATGTAGAGCTGGGATAACAGGATCCATGCTTCTCTCTCCTACCTCAGTGTTTTATGACTGAAGCACATGTTGGTTATGTGTGTGTGTGTGTGTGTGTGTGTGTGTGTGTGTGTGTGTGTGTGTGTGTGTGTGTGTGTGTGTGTGTGTGTGTGTGTGCGCGTGTGCCAGCTTGTTTCTTACCATGAACAGCTGCAGCAGCAGCACCAGCAGAAACAGCAGGCGTTGGGCCGCTGGGAATTCTGGGTAGTGGTCAATCCCCGGGCCTCTCCTGCCCCGCTCAGAGCCGAGGTCTCGCTGCGACCTCCCCCCATGGCCGGCTCACCACCCTCCTGCTCAGCTGGAATCGGACCTGTGTACTGCACAGAGACGGACGCCCGATGTAATGCTCGCTTCTGTTACAGTGGCAACTCTTCAGCTTTGAGCCGACTAAAATCTAAACATGAACTAAAACTTGTTCAATTGTATTTTTAAAAAAAATTGTCAGAAAATTTCACTTTACGTTTTTAAAATCAGACAACTGGAGATCACTGATCACATACTCCTGATCAAATCAGACCCAGAAATAAAAACTACTTGCGTTTTGTGATGAGGGTTGTAAGAAGGGGTTCGGTGTGCACAATGAAGAAGCAACAGAAACCAAAACAAGCTAAAGCTCAAACTACAGCCACAAAAGTCAAAATCTGAATAGTGAGTGGATCATCTGGGAGGCCATTAGTCGTCATTTAGACATACAACTACAACATCAGCACCTTTGCTGAATCTGTGGGGGAAAAAAAGTGTATAAAGTTACAAAGTGTAACAGAAATTGGTGTTTCCGGTCCTTTCCTGTCAGTAAATCATCCTGCCATGAAATGGCACATCAGTGACTACTTGTGGTTTCATAATCAGGGTCTCTTGGGGGGAGTGTGAACAGCAGAGTCTCATCAGGAAACCTCCACTTTATTTTCTTCGGCTCATTTGTTTGCAGATGAGATGATTCTGATCAAGCCCTGATCTTCAGTGGTCATTAAATCAGTCAGGATGAGAGACGGAGGCCACAGTTTCAGTTTCCCAGTTTCCCTTTGTACAGGACACATTTTGTGTCCTGTACAAAGGGAGGGTGTATATTTCTTCTCTGAGCTGGGAAACCTGGGGAACCCCCATGACAATCTGGTGAATGATGGAGCGAAACAAGGCTTTCCTTGCATGTCATGCTCATATGCTTGCAAAAAGCTCCTTAGAGTTTTATTTTTTTTTTTGCAATAACTAGAACTGTTCTGTCAGACAGGTTCTATTTAATTTAACTAATTTCCACTGAGCAGTACTGCAGGAGTATTCAGGAGAGCGTTTCCACATACAGTAGGGCTACATCTAAACGGTAATGTTGCGTCACACTAGTGCGATGACAAATGTGACTAGCAAGTCTTGTGATTGTGACAAACGGTTACATTTTCCTGTCCTTAACCGGACCGTACTGTTGTCCCATTGGCCGACAACTGAAGGAAGCCCAGGACCCGTGTCGTACGGGACGGTTGTATGAGCCACTTTCACAACGAAACAGACAGTAAAGACCAAAAGATCCGTCCAGCTGTCAGTGGAGGACACTGCTGCAAAACTAACCCAACTCGTGCCCAAATGAAGTCAGAAGACATAAAGTGGCAGTCTGCTAAGTGTAATGCATAATTATGAATCATGAGTAAAAAAACATTCTAAAAGTTTGTTTTTTACAGTTTGTATCATTATCTGTGGGTCTGCAAAAGGAATCCCTGCCCAGAAGCTAAATAAAAGTTTAGAAAGCTTTGGAGACAAAACACAGGAGGCAAGTAAAAATTTAAAAACAAAGAACGTGCAACACAATGCGTCAAAAATGATTCAGAACAAGATATAAATAGATGTAATAAATATAATAAAATGTGAACCGAGGAAGCCTAAAGATCGGAATTACAACTGAATGACTTCAGGGCATTTCTTCACAATTTAACCTCCTTTAAAAGGTCAGAAACGATGCAAAGCTGCTAATCTACAATAACTTTAGGTTTGAACCAAAACAGCACCAAAATATTATGAACAGCAGCAACAATTTTATGTGTGTTTCCCTCATTTTCAACTCAAGCACTAGTGACTGGAAGGGGAAAGATCCAGTGATAAGTGAGGACTGGTGCCCAAAAATGATTGGCACCAATCGTTTTTGGTGCCAATCAAAAATGATTGAGGCCAACACACAGACAGATAAACCGGAGTCTAAAAGAGGAAGAAGAAAACAGGAGATTTTACAAACAGAGGACTGGAGAAACAAATGGGAGAAAGAGCAGCATGATGTTACAGAGGAAGTGAAAGAGAGTGGGTATGGAAACAGACTAGGCAGTGTGATGCATCATGTGATTGAGCTGTGATCACACATAAACACACACAGATCCTAATGCATATGGATGGACTTTGGAATATGGACTCGCTTGATTTGTTCAGATTTTAAATATTTGTTCACAACAGGATAAAGTTTCTCTCAAGGTAACCTGCAGGACTTTTAAGGATATAAGTGTGCATCCTTTGCCACTTACTACACATATTAGATAAGGACAAAACAACTATGTGATTTTTACTTCTGTCATTCTTGTCCTTAGCAGATTCTCTTCTCTTTGCAGAAGATAAACCAGAACCAATCACAGCAGCAGCTGGAGTGAATTGCTGTGAAAAGGTACATGATATTTCCAAAAGGTTTTAGACATCATACGTTAAATACAGAAAAACATCAACATGAGATACAAGTGACTAATAGTGAAATAATATATCAAAGGAAGTTCCCAAGAACCGTCGGTCTGGTCGGGATGTTGTTACCTTTCAAGTTTTTAAGCCTCTGGCAGCAAAATGAAACTCCTTCACATGAAATTAGTGGTAACAAGATATCAAACTGTTAAATCTTCAAACTTTTCTCTCTGAAGTGACTGCCATCTTCAGATCTTTAGTGGCTTTTCCAGATGAAGTTGTAACTGAAGGTGCTACAAATGTACTTAAGTCATTCTTTTGGCAGAATTTTGGATTTCAACACACAAGCAGAAAAACAATGGATAAATGTCTGGTTACGCTGAGCAACACAATAACACTGCACTCTGTCAATAGCAACAGGTAAATGTTGGACTGCTGACTACACAGTTTAAGTACTCAAACATCTGAAGAGATAAAAAGGTTTGATCAGTTTGTGGCTACGTATATAAAAGCAGAATAAAGGCTTTTATTGGAGTATGAATTTGATCGGAACAGTTTTGATTAAAGTAAAATTTAAATCCTGTCTTATCTCTCCTGAACTCAATATTGTGGCTCGCTTCGTCTTGTGAGTTTTAGGCATCGTTAGCCCTCTAGAAATAATTACATTGACAATCAAAAGTGCAGCATTAAACAGACAGAAGACGTGTGGGCAGGCAGGAAGTGTTGGCTGGTTTAGACTAGCAGGGTTTCCTGAAACCCATATATGAAGTTATTTCACATGTACAGCTGAAACCAGATGTTCACACATTGCATGAAAGGACCTGTAGCATTTTCCCCCCCACCATCTGAACATTGAATCAAAGTAAAATGATTCTACTTCAGGTCAGTTTGTATCAAAACTATGATTCTATGGAAGGGTTGTTAGTGTTGGTACTTTCTGTGCAGCATTTAAAACTGTTAAGCATGATGTGATACATTGATTTCTTCAAGTCAATATGCAAATTTCAATGGAGCCAAGAGAAATCACATGTGGGGTACCACAAGATTCAAACCTGGGGCCCCTCTGAGTACCTCCATACTCCTGCTAACCCAGATTACCATCAGTAAAAAACCCCCCCAACAAAACAAGCAGGAGCAAACAAGAGTCAGCATAGAGTTTTAGCAAGAACAGCTAGAAACTAGTGATCATTCCTGAACCTTCAGACACATAAAGATAATTACAAAGTCAGTCTTCTATCGCCTGAAAAACATTAGGTATATGTTGTTTAATGATGGCAGGTTTGTTCATTTGAAGACTTCCAAAAGCAACAGCAGAGCACAAAGTCTACAAAATGTGAAGGAGTAACATTCACTTCAGTCCATCGGGATTCATTTGGAATTCATGAGGAAAGGTTTGTGAAGACAAAGACGGGGAGGAAAGTACCGTCCAATGATCACAACACAGGTGAAAGCTTTGTTTTTTAGTTTCTGTTTAAAAGAAGAGTCTGTGTGAGTTTACTCACTGCAGAAACACACACAGGCAGGCATAAAAGTCAAACATAATCAGTCATGTTTATGTACACACACACATGCACAAAGTTTACCTGATATGTCAGAGAAAAGATAGGGCACTCCCTTACCTTCACTTATCACACACCCCATCTTATGTAACACAGAGATATCATGTTGCTGCCTCTGTGTGTTTTTGTCAGCGAGTGAAGCAGAATGAGGGCAGGACAAAACCTCGGTACATTTATCTCTTGGAAAGTGATTGGACAAACACTGATTATAAGGTTTTAAATGCCAGAAAGATGATATAAGGGTGAAAAACATCTGTGATGAAAATGATGGAGAAACAAAAACCAAGTAAAGAGATGACAAATGAAAGAAAACAAAATCCTGTGTAATCAGAGGCATCACTTCCCCTTTTACTCCATGAGGCTTTTCAGAGTGAGTGCATTTAAAGGGATGTGGATTGCAATGTTAAGCTGATTAAACTAGATGACATTTAAATTAGATGGAGATAATTTACATATGTGCACCAAGAGGTAACTAAAAGGACAGATAACTTAATTAAAGGCACAGAATACCTATAAGTGAAGAGAAGAAGAGCTGTGTCTTGTGAGCAGTCTTGTTTTAAAAAGTGAAGTGTGATGAAAAGTGGCGAAACGTCCTGCCGCAGGAATGAACTGACATATGACAGATATGAGCGATGAAAAAAACTTTATATCTGGAATAAGTCGGGCATAAAACCAACAAAACCGTTTTTGGTTGTAGTGGCAAAGGGGTAAAATTACCAGCAGAGGCATCATTTAGCAAACAAGCATTTCAAGTTCATCCAAAGTTTAATGTAAACAAAAAGAAAAAAAAAAAAAAAAACAGTGAAAGATTAGTTAATCTCTAATACAGAAAATCTAAGCAAAGCAATGAAATCTGAGTGATCTATCACCAACCAACACAGGAACTTACTGAATGCATCTCAAACTTAAATATGATCTTTCAGTAGAACAACTGGGTATAGATAATGCCCACTTATTTGTGATGGAATTGGTTTTATTTTTTAATTATTTCTACTGGAGTTTCCTCCATTGTTGGCCTCCATTTACCAACGATGGAACTCACTGGGCTCTTCGGAGCAGCAGAAATATTTCTGTATCCTTCCCCAACTGTGTGCAAAACACACATTTTTTCCAAATTATCATAATGTGGTATTTGTGTGTAGAATTTTGAGAAAAGAGATTAATTCGCTGCAGTTTGGAATAAGGCTGTACCACCACAAAATGTGGAAAAAGTGAAGCGCTGCGAATACTTTCCGGATGCTCTGTACGCGTTATGTAGGGGGGAGATGCACACCATCATTTATAGTGTCTGCAAATAGACTTGATGGGAAAATCTGAGGGTACCCTCATTTTGTCTGTCTTTTTTTTTTGATGGCATTCCGCATTTGTTTACGAATGACACAGTCGAATCCTAATGGGAACTATTTTGACTGCAAGACAAAGAACGACAGCAAAACCTTTGTCCTAGAACATGAACTGATGCTTCCCCCATATTCTTTTGGTCCAAATTTCATCTTTTTCTTACATTTTTCCAGATATTTTCAGCCCCTGAATTAATGTTGAGTGTGTTGTGATCTACTCTCCTATATTAATGGGAAAGCCATTTTCTAAAATATCTGATTTAGTTTAGAAAAACAGCAACAATAAGCTGGTACATGGTAAAACCTATACATTAATCACCTTAGTGTTGGTGAACTGGCACACCTCTTGTCCCTCCATGCTTTGGCAGCACAGATGGGCTTGCATAACAAGCCAATAGAGCAATATGAAATTCAGATGAAGCGCGAGACGGACAGCCGGAGCCTGTTTCTGGTCCTGCGTGTCCATCCGTCCACCAGCTCACACACGTTCCACTCACAGCTGCAGCTAACAGCAGGCTTTAAGTAATGAAGCGCTCATTTTCAGTATTAATCTGAGAGATTACGCATCTATAATCTCTCCACCTGATCACCAGCAGTCCACTGAGTGACGGCTCTCGATCACAGATCAAAAGACAAATGTAGAAGTCGAAATCAAAAATTTTTTGATTTCTTCGACGGTGTGTTTTTTTTTTAATGTCGGAAAAAGCAGGAGAAAAAAACGTTAAAAAAGTTTCCTACAATTATTACCCACTATGTTAGGAGTAAAAATACAAGTTTGTGCTCATTCAATCAAAGTGAAAATGTTTGTCAAGTTAGCAAAAAAAAAAAAAAACAGGTTTCTATTAAAGTCCTGTTAAACATGAAGTACAAACAACTGGTATCCACTGATACTTGAGCTCAGAAATGCTTCGAACTGCTTAGTTTAACAGTTCAAACGGCAAATATTCCTCCAGTCGCTCTGCCATCAAGTATTTCATCTTCTCAAGCTGCACTCACATATATTTCTGATATGCCCCAAAACAACAAACAAATCCTGGAATACTGAACCATGAATAGGCAAGTGACCGTTTACAATTATCAGTGGACATGAAGTAAAAAAAACACAGAACTTAAATTGATCAAATGAATCAAAATCCATTCTTTTTTGAATAAAAACTACTGTAACTAAGCTAGAAGGAAACACTGTTTCATTACATTAGTAGTATTTCATTTCTTACCTTCAGTCTTAGCTTAATGAATCCTAAGTTAAGGTGTTGCACTTTTTGCTGCAGCCATATTGGAATAGGATGACTGTTTTCATCTGCTAGTTCAGAGGTCTGCAAATTTAGGCTCTGTGCATCAAATATTAAAAATAGTACAACCATTTACACACAGTTCTTACTTTCATCTTTCTCATAACGACAAGCTGGTCTCCATTTGATTTTCTAAATCATTGTTCTACTTATAAAAGCTGTCTGGATTCTCCTACATGACATAAAACAAGAGATTATGAAGATTTTATTTTATTTTTCAACAAAAATCTGTAATTAATCATAATCAATACTAAATGCATGATGAGAATTGAAGCTTTCATCACCAGGACTTGGCCAGTTTTGAGGCTGCAGTTGTGAAAACCTTTTTAGCAAACTTATGACTTTTCAAAATAAATTACATGTAAACATTTACTGCTATAAAAAACCTGAATCATAAAAATTTTAAGAAATCTAATTTTATAATGAATTCTGTTTCATGTTCAGATCATTTAACATTATTGTTATGCTATTTGAATGAACTGATTGTTAATAACCAGTGAGACTGGCTGCTTTCTAGACATAAAACCATGTGAAGTAACTGACAGCTGCTGCACAGGATCATTCTATTCTGGTTCAGTCAGAAGTTCAGTTTGTTGTTTTTCCAAAGAGCGCAGGTTTCAGGGAGTCGGAGCCAAACGCAGTGCAGCGAAGAGGAACAAATAGTTGAAGGAACTGAACTTCTCCAACCTCCTGCCCTGACATGTTGGGCTCTGATAGAGCTCCGCTAATGTCCCATTAAAACACACACACACACAGGCTGAGCTGCTTTTCTGCTCTTCATTTTTCTCTGAAAACGTCCCACAGACCACCTTGCTGTCCCACTTTCCAACAGTCACACATTGAAGCAGATGCGCAGTAAGTGGCTCCATAAATCCAGCTTAGCGCTGCATCGAGGTGACACTTTATGTTTTTCACCACAAACCAAATCACCCTCCACATTCAATTCGAGCCCTTATAAGGAGAAGTTTGTTTAAGGACTAAATGCAAACAATTAACATACAGCTTCTCACATGTGAGAAACTTGTAGTCCATTAATGTGGGGCAACGTACACACAGTCCCTCCAGGCCACAGCTCCCAACAAGCTGGACCAAAACAAACTCTTTGGCTCCTTTGGCAAAATATAAATTTAAAAAAGTGTCCAGCTTTAAAAGGAGCTTTTCAAACAAGTTGCTGTCAGAGCCAACAGATCCCATTTGGTCATAGGAAGTTAATGTTTCACAATCTGGTGGTCATTTCCTGGATGGAGCGATCAACTTTAACATTAAACCACATGGACAACATGAGATGTTTTTATATTTTGAAAAAAACAACAATTCAGCTACCTTGGAAAAGCTGTGACCCAACTGAACAATGTAGAACCAAGCAGAGAGAATCTGATGGAACATGTTAATATGTTTAATGCATCAGCCTTAAATGCAAAGCTACAAGGATTAGAGAACGTTGTCCAATTTAAATAATAATGATATCATTTCAAAATATATCATAATAATAATAAATAAGAAAGACGGATGAGTGGTTCTACAATTAATTGCATCCTGGTGGCACAATTTTTGATCCATCTGCGCACCAACTGAGCTACGAGGTCAAAAACTTCAGCGGTAAAGCAGCTCACCAGAGAGACGATTCAAGCCTGGACCAGCGAGGGTTTACTGAATTACAGAGCGAACAGATGTCTCTTTTTGCGATGTCTGCTCTTTCCCAGGTGCTGATTCTGTGCGACGACATGCCTCACCCTCCAGCAGAGAAGGAAGAGACGAGAGGCGGCCCGGAGCAACAGGAAAAGACGGGGAGGGATGAAGACACCGAGGCAGGAAACAGTCAGAGGCGTTGTGACACACAGGGCTTCTTGGTTTCTTCACGAAACTTGATGAATCAGACTGGGTGTCCACAGAAACACACTCACACAACCCATCAGCCAGCACCATGTGGGCTGAGCCTAGCTTTGTTTGCATCAATAAAAGCAAATCAGTAAAAAAAAAAAAAAGGCAGCGTTTACATTCCAGCTCCATCTGAACTTCTAGACTAGACTTGTTAATGTTGGTTCATTTCACAACCACCAAATAATTTATAACCTGCCTTATCTTCACGCTAAAGAAAACTCTGGAATCCATGGAACATGTTGGAAAACTTTTCAACAAATATGACCGGGCGTTAGGTTTCATGTGAAGCAGTAAACTCCTCCAAAACTAGAAATGATCGATCGTCTTACATGGCTACCCCATTGTCCACATCTTTATTGCTCAAGATGCTGGCAGGTCTGGACATTTAAAGCTGATGAATAAAACTTTTAAATATTCCTCTAAATCACTGACTGACACTTTATGTAAAGAAAATGAACAGCCTTTCAGCTGAACCAGCTGACAAAAATAAACTGCAAGTGACTCAAGTATTTTTATAAATACGCTAAAACTGTGCACAAAGTTGCTTTACAAGCTAATATTCAAAAAAACTGTGTAATCTGCAGCCTCACTGTGACTTCTGACTAAATGAACATGAAGTTAAAATTCACATCATCAAATTCAATGTCATGTTAAGCAGCGATCCAACTGGTGTCACAATGTAGACCCTAGGTGGCGTTTTACAAGAAACCTACAGCATTAACCTAATATCTGATGATGCAGGGGGATTTATTTAACATTTGTTACACTGGTAGAGCAGCACAATATGGCAAACATGCTGACACTACTATAGGCACTTATGGCTTGCCATACACACCCAACTTCACTGAGCACATATCCCTGCTAATGTGGTGTTAGTGGGTGCATTTCTATTAACTATAGAATTGCACAAATTGATTTTATAAAAATAAATTTGCTTAATGGAAACTGTTTAAAAAACAACAACAAAAAAAAAACTAGTTTTTGTACAAGCATGATTTGATTTTCGGCCATATTGAGTTCGTAAAACTGCAATGGAAACACTTTTAGTGATGATATCATTTAAAAAGCAGCAGTTAGAAAAAGAGAATGTATTGACAATACACATGCAAACCCTTTTGTTGGGATTTAATTGAGATTTCACACATCAAATCAGCTCATTTGAAGAAAACAGGAGCAAGAAAAGGAAGAGGTGAAGTAGATTTACCAGTGCATCCGCCATGCCGTGAGGGTGGGCAGTCTGTTAGCGTGCGAGTCGTCAGGGATGTTAGCAGGCTGGACACATGCATGTCATCCCCCCTTCTTCCTCGGACCTCTCCTTTACAAACACACGCACCCAGACACACACAAGCATGAGCGCGTGCGCACACACACACACACACACACACACAAATGAGTCCACAGACATGAATTCGCGCAAAATTGCCAAACAAGCACAAACGATGCAAATGTATCGTACAAGTAAATAAAAAATGACCACAAAAAAAACGTTCCACACATGAAGGAGCGTGCGCGCACGCGCACACACACACACACACACACACAGCAAGAGATGTTGCAGCCACAACATGCAATGATGATAACATGGGTGTCCACAGGCAACAGCACACACACACACACAGAAACAAAGGGAAGAAAAAGGCCACAGTGAATGTGTGTCCCAACTCAAATGTGGTCAATTAATCATAAGATTTCATTTAAGTTTTGCAAATTAAAAAAAGAAAGAAAAAAAGTCATGACTCTCCTATATATGCCAAACCCATCCTCTTAGTTTGACATTTCTTTTCTCCCAGATACTGAGTCATCAGGTATTGTGTGCATTCCACTTTTGCAATAAAAATCTTTTTTTTTACTAATAAAAATGTGGGAACTGTATTCGTCATTTGGTGAAAATGCAGCAGCAATTCTTGTGTCTGCACATTTCTAACTATTCTGTTAAAAAGACAGACCTTAAGGAATTTTGTTCTTATGCACAATATTTTGTCACTAGTGGCCTTCATCAGCAGTAGGGCAGAGAAAGGAAGGGAAGGCATGCAGTAAGTGGTCCAGGTCCAGGAATCGAAACCATAATCCACAGTGGATTATGTGTGGGGGGCAAATCTTCAACTTAAGAATTTTTAACATGAAGTTCCACTTTATGTTTCTAAACTGAGGCTCAGAAATTAGGAATTTTGGAAATCAGAGAAATAAGAAACATGTATAATCATGAAAGTTTATGGTGATCACACACAATGAGTCCATCAAATATGCATGATTCAAAATCATTTTGGTCTTCATGAATTGGAGTTTTTTTTTCTAAACAGCAGTTTAAAAGCTGGAGTTTGAAAGCAGCTGCTTTTAGAAATCTCTGAGTAGAGATAGTTCAGCTTTAAAATCCCACATTGAAACCATGAGACAGAGATTAGTAGCAAGGCTGTTGCTCATCAAGCCAATTAGCTTGAATACGGAAAGCTAATGATGCTCAGAAGTTATTTAGGGAGAAAAAGAAAGGCTGTCAAAGAAGATTTCATGAGCTGAGATTTACATTTTGATGTCTTTTTAATGTCTTCCTGGTAAATTCAGGACTTTTTAAAAACTTTTCCTCTGAGTGATCTCAGTGCATTTCACCTGGTTTTCTTCTTCACTGCTGCTTAAGGCAAGAAAAGAAGATTAAACAACTAAAAATGATGTGATGACTGAAAAACAATTATGTACAGAACAGAAACTAAAACCAAAGGAGACAATGACTGACACTTAAGGTGTGGAAAAGAGAAAAGCAGGAACTCTTTGAGTGAACTAAGATTACTGATCCTACAGCAGTCATGGTCATTTCATGTTCAAATTTACACCTTACAAAATTTAAAAATAAATATACAAAAATGTACCACTTCTAGGCAAGTTTTAAGCATCATTAAGTGTCAAAGGTTAATTATCAAAGATCCAAAGCTGGAATTAAAAATACCAAGTTTCCAACAAACTCAAGGATTTTTTTTTTTTTTTTTTTTTTTTTTAAAAAGGGGCCTCAAATGCATATTGTACTATTTGCAGCTAAATTTGGGGATTAAAAACAAACAGGAGTGAAATCTAAATGTAGTACACTGATTGCCATTTAGGTTTTAGAACAATCATAAGACTGTGATAGAGTAAGAATTGACCAATTTTCTGTGAAACATGCATAAATATGAATAAAATAATTCAAAATAATAATTCAGTGGACCCCAGGTTAAGAACCACAACCAAATACTTCAGACTCCCTCTAAAAATGTGCATAAGTGCCCAGATTAATAGTTTAAGCACCAAATATAGCATAAAATCAATTAATACAGTGGAAAACTGCCACAGAAGCCAACATCCAGGGCTTTTCTTCCTGCTGTTGTGGCTAACCAATCAGCTGAAAAGAAAATGAATGGCTCTCCTGGATTGGCTGCTTGGAGAGCACCAACCAATCGCATGAGGAGAAGCAGTGTTCAATGGCATTTCAGCCTTTTCTTTTATGGTTAATATTCTCAGTAAGACTTTTTTTGGCCTCCAGAGTCAGACTTTCTCAACGTTCTTTAAAGTGACGCTGTTTGAAACGTCTCAAACCACTTTGACCACTTCATTCATTTTCAGTCCAGTAATTGGCTACTGACAGATGACTGCAGATATGATTCTCTGCTGTCTTCAAATAACACAAATTTATGATATAAAATGCATCTTTAACAGAGACTTGCAAACAACACAATTTCTCCTCCTGTATCCAATCTTTCATTTGTTTTTAAGGTAAAGTCTTCACTGAACTGCTGCCTATAGGCCTGCTGCTTCTTATTTTGGTCACTTGTTGCACATTAAGGACTTTTGTAAAATATTTAATTTAAAAATGTCTATTCAGAAAGTACTAAACGAGGCAGAAAAACATTCTACCTCAAAGAAGCCTGTAAATCAGAGATGCTCAAGTCCAGATCTTGAGAGCTACCAATTTGCAACTTTCAGATGGTTCCCTGCTCTAACACACCTGAATCAAATGAATGGCTCGTTAGCAGGTCTGTGCAGAGCTGATCCCGGTCTGTTGGCATAAAGATGCATCTTAAAGTTGCAGGATGGAAGCTCTTGAGGACTGGACTTGAGCTCCCTTGCTGTAGATCACAGGTGTCAAACTCCAGTCCTCAACGGCCGCTGTCCTGCAGTTTTTAGATGTGCCACAGGTACAAAACACTGGAACGAAATGGCTTAATTACCTCCTCCTGGTGTAGATAAGATCTCCAGAGCCTGGCTAATGACCTAATTATTCTATTCAGCTGTGGTGCAGCAGAGGCACATTGAAAAATTGCAGGACGTCGGCCCTTGAGGGTGTTCTACCGATTGAGACTTTGACGTTCAAAGCCAGTACTGGTTTGAGAGTTTTGGCCAGTTTTGTGCATTACTACTAACAAGCAGACAAACCCATTAGGACCAATAAGAACTGCAAATCAGGAGAAGAATGCAAGAAAGATATGAAGAGGGAAGGAGATGACCAACTTGAGAAAGAGGAAGTAAGTAACAGACAAAATGAAGAAAGAGCCAGGAAGAGGAAGTGTGAACCAACTGGCAAGAACAAGAAAAAAAAATACTTCTAGTTTTCCTTTAGTCACTGAAGATATGCACCACAGAATGACAAAGAGGTACTTTAATAATAGTAATAAGTTCAACCTACTTTGTTCTGAAAAAGTCAAAGTGACTAACTACCCTAACTTTTACATTTGCAAACAAATTTAATTTTACTTTTTAATAATTCCTTCACAGTTTTTGGGCTGTGATTGTAATCTGACTCCGCCACAGGAAGGAGCTGGAGAAACACGGATTCTGAGGATAAAGGGACATGGCTGCTGACATTTGATAGCCAGGAGTTCCTCCTGCACAGACCCAGCAATCTGAAAGAGAGCTACTTCCAACCCACTCCGTCAGATCTTCCTCTGTTCTTTAACCCAAAATTCATTGCCTTCTTCACCCAAACACACCTAGTATCACTTCATTAATGGTCT